TAAAATTTTTAAGGAGGTTTTATTTCTTAAAAATGAATAGTGTGTTTCCAAGTACAGTGTACGCCTGATAGTATGCATGTACGTGCAAGTGCTTATAAGCAGTATATTTGTATATACAAATGAAGAATTCAGTTTTGGCCCAGCAGCTTCTCATACAACTGACTAAAGCTGAGTGACACACGTTAGTATTGTGCGACGATGTGGATAATAGCAAACTCAGAAATACGTTTGAGCACAGAATAGATTTTAGTTTGCTCAGGTCATGTTATTATTTGCTCAAATATATTTTTTCTTCAAAATATAATTAGTTTGTTTGCAAAATGTATTTGTGCTCAGAAAGTCCCACTGTGCGCTCAGGAATGAGACAAAAATAAGTAAATTTTACAGTAATTACTATTAAATGTATGCTTAGAATATAAAATATATAAAATACAAAAAAATACGATACGATATATACGATATAACCCACAACCAGGCCTGAAGCGTACCACACGTGCTGGACTGCCATTACTGTTCTGGCGGTGGGCCTGAATGGCATTTCTTAATTTCCTGCTGTTTACCCCAATGCCAGCCCTTCCCTTAGCTGCAGGACGGAATCAGATTACATTACATCCTGTTTTATTAAAAGACACAAAACACAACATGAGCACACACACACATTGTAAATACACCACATTTCACACCCATCCAACCTGTAAAGAGATTACTGATATCATTTCTTTACCATTGAGTTTGTTGCAATCATTCAGTCCATTTGTGCAAAGTGTTTTATATTTACAGAGTACACATTTACATACTGATTGTCAGTCTGTTTACACAAATAACAATGAGACAAATCTACCCCCATAGACAGGAGATGAAAATGTGTTGACAAGACAGGATTGAAGAAAAGAGGAGGAAAGGAGAGTAGAGGTGGAGCAGATTTGTATATATACGGCAGTAATATTTTTACATCTTGAGTTTATGGTCAGAAATATTAAAACTTTTTGTTTTATATTTTTCCTTTTTGAGTGGAGGACATTCCCAGGGATAGATGAGTGGAGCTGATAGAGTGAAAGAAGAAGAAAAGAGGAGGGAATGAGCACAGAGTGATCAGGAGTAGATCAAATAAAATACTGTATGATAACATTACAGTACATGTCCATGTTGTTTATGCTATTCCTTAAAGAAATGTTATATCATTAGAGTAAATGTTCTTCTGTTGGCCTAATATTCAGTTCAGAGTATTGAAGACATTCACTTGTTGTGGCCTTGTTGTGGATATGACTGTTCAGTTAGAGCAGCACATAATATTATGGTCTGGATTTAAATGTAGATTTGGCATCTAAACATTAAATCTGGTGAACTCTACTCCAGCATAGTGTAAAAAAAAAAATAGGTTTCAAGATTAGTAATGCTGTTTATGCCAAATTAATTCCCCACCTATGTCATGTAAATTCAAATACAAATACATCAGACAATCAATTCTTGCCTCTTTTTATGTGGCAGCAATGAAAATTAGTCATTGTCAAAATTTGTTGTGTTGTAGTTTCAGAATGATGGAAACAGAGAACAATTAAATTCAAAATATGATGCAGACTCGTGAGGATTTGTTTTTTTCCTATCATCCTATTATATTTTCCCCAAATGATGTACAAATGGCTTGATACAGTAAATAGTGCATGTAGCTGTTGTGGATGGGGAAAAAAATTCCCGGTGGAGCATGTCCCCTGAATATTGGCAGAAGTTTGGGATAAGAACGAATGTTTACAATATCAGGCTCCGGCCCTGCTCAAAGCATTTCTGATGTGTCTATTATCGCATCAGAAAAAATGCCATTTTACCTGCACTACTTTCGACAACAACTCGGGTTATGTTCGTTGTTTTCCGTAACTCCGCCTCCTGTCGAGCCCTAGAGGTTGTCAGGGGCAACTGAGAGAGACGCTTTATGCCCAGACAGGAGGCTACACAACACTGGAAGTTACGGTCGATGTTTTAAGCTGTTTTGAGTTTAAACAACTAATTTGACCTGACATTTACCCGAAGAAACTGACAGCAAGGTGAGTATTCAGACAATTTATCAGAACGGTTAACGCCATTCTACGGTAGCGAGGGCCAGCAATGAATGCTAACTTTACCTAGCTTATTTAGCTTAGCTAATGTTAGTAGCTAAAGCTAACTTAACCATTTGCCCCATAATGACATAACGTAACGTTAATGTTTGTTGACAGTACTAACCATCATGGCAAATTTATAGCTTCATCACAGTCTACATTGTTTTGGTGTACCCATAAGTAAACTAACGTTAGCTAAGCTAAAGTAAAATTATAGACAGAATCACTGAAAGCTATTTGAGGGTACGACGTAGAGTTAACTAGTTAGTGATTGCCGAGCTTTTAAAACAATAATTAGCCAGACTGCAATAGTGAGTAGTAGCTGGTACAGAGACATGCAAGGGCACACAGATTACTGACTAATAACCACGTGTAATATTGGAGTTTCCATCTAGCTGATATCCCCTTTCGTATTTAGAGAGAAGCACTGGGGACATGGCGGTGTATTTTGACCACCGTATTGAGGCCCCTGAAAGCAGTGCTGTACCCTCTCAGTTGACCTGGCACTTGGCTCTTCCTGTATTGGCTGTGGCCTCAAGCAGCCCCGCCACTGGAGGCAATGTAGACCTCTACCTGCAGCAGGTAAACACCTTTGAAGATGCACTTTCACAGAGAAAGAGAGGACACTTCGTTATATTCACAGTATGTGAATATGATCAATTACAGCATACTTAATAAAGTTTGCATACTTAAAATCGTCCCTGGTCATATGCAGGGAGAGTATGTGGAGAGCTGCCATGTAGAACGTCCATACCAACCCACAGTACTGCGCTGGCATCCCACAAAGCCAGTGTTGGCACTTGGCTGGGAGAAAGGAGAGGTAGTGCTGCTGACATACCCCTCTGGAGATCAAACAGTCCTTCCCAGCACACATACAGCCTACATCACACTGCTGGAGTGGAGCAGCTCTGGCAGCCGCTTGGTGAGCGGGGATCAGGTGAGTGTATTCCAGTGACTGTATACACAGACACTCTGGCACACATATGCATGTCTTATCTACATACTGATGCATTCATAGCCTCTGGATATAATGGTGGGCCTGATCGTCATACATGATACAAAGGCATTTTCTAATACCAACATGGCATATTTGGCACAAGACGTCCCATTTCTTATTGTTGCATTGTGTAAACATCGTGTTATTATGTGTTGACAGACTGGAGCTCTAGCTGTATGGAAGGTTGATGCTAGAGGGAGACTTCAAGGAAACCATCTAGTGAAGCATGAATACAACAAACCTTTAACTTGCTGCATCTTCAGACCTACCTCACCTGGGGAGTAAGTAGTTGGGTATTCTTCTTTTCATAAGTCCTTAGCAGTAAGCTTATATTGAAAACAATGTGATATCATTATGTTCTCTTGATCTCAATGCTGTGTTGCTGATAATAGGACCTAACTCTTGTTACAGTGACGTGGCGATGCTAGCACGGGCATCAGTGAGTGGAGATGAGAGTGCTCTGGATATGTTCAGCTGGAAGGGAGCGCCTCTCAAAATGGGCCCACAGGAGGGACTTGCGTTCTATGTCAGCACTGTAGATGGTGAGTTTTTTCATTTCTGTTTTGGGTTCTGTATTTTAAGTCAAGATGCAATGTGTAGCTCATGATGTAAACAGTCAATATCTGTGACCAATGATTTCCAGCAATGACACATCTATGAGACAGCTCATGATGGAATGTAATAACAAAAACGAATTATTGTTTTTTGGTTTGTGTGTGCATTGTAGCCAATGCTGGTTACTCACTTAGAGGTGCTATGTTCCATCACCAATCAGTTACAAAAGATGTTGGGAGTACAGTACATTTCCAAAAGAGTATTGTGCAGTAGGAATCCAGAGTGTCTAGGGAGAATATAACAGTTTTGCTATAGCTACATAGCCAACGTTAGAATTAACAGCTGTTTACTTACCAGTCTGGATGAAATGTTGCAAGTTCAGTATCAAAACTCATTTCTTTGCTCGCCAAGAGCTGTCTTCAGTGGTGGAAAGCAAAACCTTTGTTGACTCTTGTTTTGCTTCTCTTTTCTTCTTCTGAAGTTAGCATCCCAACCAGCAAACCAGCCTATCTTGCCACTTTCCTATAGCTAATCACTGTAGAGTCCAGTCTGCCCTGAAGAAGTAGCACTGCTAAGATGGTGTATTGTAACCTCTTGTATTATAAATGCAGCAATGGCGAAAGCTTTTGGTGAGCGACCATCATCACAACATGTTCCCAGGAAGACACCACGTTCCTTGGTGGAGAAAACTTACAAATAGCCCCTTTAAGGAAAGACTTAACTTATTTGGACTTAAATTTGGAATATTAATCCATATTAAACATTTTATCCTCATTTGTTGTTATCAGTGTCAAGTCTGACCTCTCAAATCTGTTTCATTTGTTAAATTGGATTTTTTGAAAAAGAATCAAAAACATGTTAAAATTGTGTTTATCTTTTTTACTGTGTGAAGTAGTTGTCACAGTAATCCTATAAGATTCTCCAGAAAGGGGAGGTCTGAAAAGCATACTAATCATCACCATCAGATTTCTGGAAAATATCATCATTTCGTTCTATGATGATATGATATGTTGATATCTTATTTTTTAATCTTTAACCCTGTGTTCATGGTATATAGGTAAGGTCCACAGTGTGGATGAGCACTGTAAGACAAGCACACTTCTCAGTGTGGAGGGTTCAATCAAGAAACTGTTCTACCTTGAGAAAAGAGAGGCCCTCGCTGTGATCACAGAGACCCTGATGCTGTCACAATACACTCTGGGATCTGAGGGAGGAGCCCAGGAATTCATGAAGGTAGACTAAGATCAGTGAAGAGGCAGTTTCTTTTGTTTCTGTTGAAAACCATGTTTTTTTTGATGGGTGATGTTCGTACTTGTAAATCACTGTAAAGGACTGGTGAGAGTGGTACACAATTCAGTTTTTGAAATTTTTTCTCATGACAGGTGAAGTTGAGCAGCAAATCTGGACAGAATGTAGACATTGTCTGGACAGATAACAGCCTCCTCATCACAGCAACAGGGGAACAGACTGTCAGGTCAGCATACACATATTGTTTGTACACACGTACACAACTATTTGAAACCTGAATAATGTCCTGCCCCTCTGTTTTCATAGGCTGTGGGACCTAGAGCGAGATGACAACTATGTTTTGTCACTGGACGAAAGACTGGGGTTTGAGAGAGGAGAGCTGATCAACTGTGTTTCATACTGTACAGGAAAAGGTAACTGGAAATTATTTGTCCTATAGTGCAAAATGTAGAGTATAAAGTGCTGTTTTTTCTTCACTGGTGGATCTGCTAATTTCCAGCTTTATTTCATTACATTCTCAAATCCTGAGTAGAGTGATTACACATACCACACTGATAACTCGTGCTTTACAGACTTATTTCATACTCACAAATCCTTATTGCCTTTGTATAACATTGCGGCCTTCTCAGAAATCCTGGCAGCTGGCACAAGCCATGGGCGCATCGCATTGTGGAGGATGGTGGCGCAGCCAGTTGGTAGCAAAGGTGACACCAAGGTGCAGTGGAAGCTACAGACACCCACTGAAATACAGGGAAATGTCACTCAGCTACAGGTACTGTCTAGGCCAGCATTTATACACAACTGCTCTATTATTATAAATGAATATCAGTCACATACCATGAATATAATAATGATATTCATCATATGTATAGTATTCTGCTGGGAAAGTTCACTCAGACCTTCCATTTCAGTGGGGCTCCAGCATTAATCTGCTGGCAGCCAACAACTCAAACACAGTCCTGATCCTTTGTGAGCATGTGATGTCAGCCCACTTCAGCCAGCAGGTGGCAGCAGTGCAGCTTACCCCAACCCAGCTCAGCATTGCTCAGTTCACCACAGGAGTGAACCTTGCTCTGCAGTCTGACATACACATCAAGGGAGTGTGTGTGACCAAGGTAAGTATGGAAGGGATGTACATGTTGAATTGATCACTACAAAGGTTAGCTCATGAAAACAAGTAAAAATTTAAACCGATATTATGGTAACTGCTTGTCTGTTGTCATACCAACAGGACTCAGTGACAGTGTGGAGTGGCAAGCAGGTCACTGTGTATGAGGTTTCAGGGACAGTTCTACGCAATACAGGTACAACAGAGTGACACTGTCATGATTTCCGTGTCCTTCATCTCACCCTTACTTTGTCATCTGATTCTTTTCCTTTCTCTTTCTCTTCTCTCTCTACCTCCTCTCGTGCTGATTTTCCAGGATCGTTTCCTTGTGACTCCCATGTAGTAGCTGTACATGGTGAGAACCTCTACACAGTGGAACCTAACAGGGTTCAGATTCGCACACCACAGGTCTGTTTGCCCAACCTGGAATCCATTATCCAGTATTCTCATTGACACAGCGTTTGAGTGTGCATGTTGAGAAGGCCTCTCTGAAACTGTTCTTTTAGTGCTGAATTAGAATTGATTTTTAAAAAGTATAAACACGCATGCAAGTGGTATTTGTCACCATGAATCTGGTTCATTGTTGAACCATTGTTTTTCCTCTCTTAAGGGCACCGTGAAGCAACTGCTTACTTTCTCCAAGGCAGAGGGCAACCCTGTCCTACTCAGTGTGTGTCAGTCTTACCTGGTTGTGGGCACAGACACAGCACACATCAGAGTCTTTGACCTCTCCCGAAGGTATGACGTTAATGTGGATGTCGGTGTCACTTCCCTTTGTTAAAAAAGTAGTATAATGAAGGCCAGCTAGCTTCCATGTATTGTGAATTTCTGTTCATTAATAATTTATCTTTTCAAAGTCTTTTCTTGTCCAACAATACCAGTCTCACTGTATGTCTTTAAAGAGATGCCAAAGCTCACTGCAGTGCTAAGAACCTGGCTGACCAGATTGCTAGTCTGGGAGCCTTGAGGTCAATCAAGTGTAACGCCAATGGCAGCCAAGTCAGCATCCTAATCTCTCAGGTGAATGGACAAAATACAACAGTCACACTCTACTTTTTGAATATTGGTTTATAAAAGCTGACAAAAATATTTTTGATTAACGCCACCAGTATTTTACACTTACTTTCAGAATCTTAAAATGCCACCATTTCATTTTAATATCTCTCTTAACTGAATATAACTCTCTCCTCTCAGGTTAATGGGCGACCTGATCACAAAGTGTACTTTTATGACGTTGAGATGGACACTGTGACACATTTCGACTTCTTCATTGGCAGACCGTCAAGCGGTATCTCACATCCTGACGACGGTGAAAGGTAAATTTTGTCGCTTTGGTCTGTATCTGTATTCTTCCCATGTAGAGTTTTTCTCCTCTGGTTGTTTTATACTCCATATTTCCTTATCTGTATTTCAGGCAGCAGTTTCAGGGGACAGAGCTCAGTGGTCGGTGCCCTGTATCTCACTTCTGGGATGAGAGCGAACCTCGTCTTTTTGTTTGTGAGACGGTGCCGATAAGCTCTGAATCATCATCTGCTAGTTACTTGGATATGGTAAAGACTGTTGTTTACCATTGACATTGTCCTGTACAGCTCTGTGAGCAAGGCTTGGCACTAAAGCTGCTGACTGATGTCCCCTGGTACGACCTGTGCTAAAAAAAAATATACACACACTACTATACAGCCCTTTCGGGTACAAGTGAGAACCAAGAGGCAATATAAATTTTGATTCATTCATTTATCTTAGACAGCCAGTCAGAATGTGATTACTTGTTTAAATGATTTTAATAAACTTACAGTAAATGTGAAGTAGCTTGACATTGCGTTGTCTTCATTCTGTTTAGGTGGACATGTCAGTGGTGACACTCTTCTGTACGCAGGAGCATGGTTTACTCCTACAGGACTGCTACCCCAAACCGACAGGCCTGCAGGCCCTTCTCGCTCTGGATGTGCCCTTTTATTATTTCAGCTGCAAGGTGAGTACAGAGAACACTATTCTACATGCGTGTGGTCTCTTCAGTGGGGGGTTTCTGATACAGCATGTGGGGCTTCTCTCTAGAAAGTTGAAGAATATCTGTTTCAGATCTTGAGTTTTCTTAAACATATTCCTTGTGTTTTTGTATGCACTCACCACTGTTCTTATGTGAAACACTGTGCGTTTGGTCTAACACACCCCAGCTATTGTTTTGGAGGGGTGGTGTCTTTCGACCAGAAGTAAGTATCTGTCCCCTACAGTTGATTCAGAAAGCTTTGAGTATTCTTGGCTCCCAACTTCCAACCACTGTGATCGTGTATGCCTTGTGCTGCATTGAAGCAAAAGTAAAAAATACTGGCTCCCCAGGATCAGCAGCATAAGAGCTTCCCTGAAATATTGAGAGCTCACTAATCTGTGTCTGTTTCCTAATGCTTGTCTTGACGAATAGATTTGGTCTGTGGTGTTTTGGTTGATGTTTGGTTTGCTTTGTACCCTCCCCATTCCTATTTTACATTTTTGTGATCCCACTTCAGAACATGCTTCATTTATTACTGGCTCTGAATCACATGTTACCAATATTGACATCATGATGTTCTAACCCTCCTCAGCCTGGTGAGAGGGATCCAGGTTCAACAGAGGTTTCAGCCACAACATCAGCACCTCCACACCAGACCCAGCCGTCAAGAGGGACGCCTGCCAAGTTCCCTCCTATGGTGTCCAGACGAGCTCTCAGGGACTTTGTGGGCCTGGAGAACTGTGAGAAGGCCACCCGTGATGCCATGCTCAACTTCAGCTTCTACCTGACAATCGGTGATATGGATGAAGCCTTCAAGTCTATCAAGCTCATCAAAAGGTAGGGCATCAATATGTGCATGTCATCATTGCATGTATCAACTCAATGATGTCTTTTAAGAGAGGAGACATGCAGAATGACATGCCCACTGTTGGCACATCCCCTGTTTGATCCATGTCATCACATCCCCCAACTGTCCTTTCTACAGGGGCTTTAGTTCAAAGCCAAGTGATGGCCAGGGGGAAAGCATTGTTGCTACAGCCTTGACTATTCTCTGAAGTGCTTTTGACTTGTGATGAGAATGGGGTATTGTTGCCCCTTGCTTTTCTTCACCTCTCATTTCACTCAACACATTTGACTGCTCAGATAAAACTGCCACAATAAGTCTGTAACCTTAACTTTGATATTCTTTCTTTAAGTCTGAGGGGTGGTCATGGGAGGCAACACTATCTATTTTGTTATTTTCTTTAAAGGTCTTACTTGTCTCTAAGCAATATAAGCATTTTAAGCCAGTCACTTGAAAGATCAGTGAAGGAAGATGCCAGACCCTATCTGCCTTTGGAAAGGGTAATAAATTTGAAATGCTTATATGTTTCATTTAATAATATGTTGGTCTAAGCTCAAAGGTTTTCTTCTAAGTGTATTATTGATCAAATTAGATCCACTAAAGTCAAACTTTTTATTCATTTATCTAAGAACATGAAATAGATTTTTAAACACAGGACATGATTAAGGACTTTTTCTGTGTCTATGCTGAGGGAAGGAACCTTTCAATGTGTATATATGTGACTGTTTCAGTTAGTGTGCGGGTGTGTGCTGAGGGGATGTACTTTTCTAAACACACTGCAACTCACACACACACACACATGAGGTCCCCCTGCCAGTTTGGTCCAAAAGGAGTGCCCTCTCAATTCTTGCGAACTTCAAATCAGGTCACGAAAAGGATGTGCGTGTCCATTCCTGTATATGTGTCATGGTGAAATGCACATGTGATTTCATCAAAGATATGATATTATCTTTAGCAGAATACGTGATTCCGGGCACTCGGGCTGAATTCTGCGGTTGTGTTGCTTTTGCACGTACAAACATTACTCAAATGGGAAAATAGCATAAAAACAAACAAATGGGAAAATAACATATCCCATTGGCCGGATATTCCAAAGAGTTTAAGAGGCCTGATGACAGCTTTACTAAGTTCCTCATTGATGGCTATTTTTACTGCTGCTACTTTTTTTTTTAGAGATCGGTATTGTGTTCGATTCCCGCAAATCTCCACCCACAGGAATATATATTTCCTGCAGCAGTAACCTGTATCTTCTGGGACCTGTCTCTATGGTGCAGATCTTTGAATGGACAAAGGTTCTCATACTTAAGTCTTAGACTGGCTAGTGATCCAGGAGTCAAGCTCATTTCATCCAATTCACGTATTTAAGGTCATATAATAAAAGTATCTGTTGGAGACACTAGAGACAATACACCCGTTTCACACATGTATCTTAAAGAGTCAGTTAAACCCAAATCACAGACATGTAAGTAATTTGTGTATGTGTGAACAACAAAATCCACTACCTCACTCTGTTGATGAAAGCTGGGAGTGTTGGGAAGTCTGTATCAGAAAAGGCTTAAGAGCTCAATTTCTGTTGGGCTTTATTCGCCTCGTCCCTGGATGTTCTGAATAAAGTAGTATTAAATCACTTTATCCAAAACAGTATTTCTCAGTGTGAAAACGCCTCTGCCTCCTAAAGCAGCAAGTCAGATACAGACTGGAACATCTTTGTTCAGTCCAGACTGTGCTGCTTCCTCTCATTCATGTTGTCCTTGACTTTAGGTGACATGCTGCATAGTTATCTGCCCATATGAATGTAAGCCCTCTCTTAATGTCTTTTTGCCACTGCATTTGGTATTTAAAAGCAAAACTCCCCCTTCTCATCAGGAACAGAAACACCCGAGGAAGTGTTCGGGGTGAAGCAGAGACTCATGTATNATTTCACACCCATCCAACCTGTAAAGAGATTACTGATATCATTTCTTTACCATTGAGTTTGTTGCAATCATTCAGTCCATTTGTGCAAAGTGTTTTATATTTACAGAGTACACATTTACATACTGATTGTCAGTCTGTTTACACAAATAACAATGAGACAAATCTACCCCCATAGACAGGAGATGAAAATGTGTTGACAAGACAGGATTGAAGAAAAGAGGAGGAAAGGAGAGTAGAGGTGGAGCAGATTTGTATATATACGGCAGTAATATTTTTACATCTTGAGTTTATGGTCAGAAATATTAAAACTTTTTGTTTTATATTTTTCCTTTTTGAGTGGAGGACATTCCCAGGGATAGATGAGTGGAGCTGATAGAGTGAAAGAAGAAGAAAAGAGGAGGGAATGAGCACAGAGTGATCAGGAGTAGATCAAATAAAATACTGTATGATAACATTACAGTACATGTCCATGTTGTTTATGCTATTCCTTAAAGAAATGTTATATCATTAGAGTAAATGTTCTTCTGTTGGCCTAATATTCAGTTCAGAGTATTGAAGACATTCACTTGTTGTGGCCTTGTTGTGGATATGACTGTTCAGTTAGAGCAGCACATAATATTATGGTCTGGATTTAAATGTAGATTTGGCATCTAAACATTAAATCTGGTGAACTCTACTCCAGCATAGTGTAAAAAAAAAAATAGGTTTCAAGATTAGTAATGCTGTTTATGCCAAATTAATTCCCCACCTATGTCATGTAAATTCAAATACAAATACATCAGACAATCAATTCTTGCCTCTTTTTATGTGGCAGCAATGAAAATTAGTCATTGTCAAAATTTGTTGTGTTGTAGTTTCAGAATGATGGAAACAGAGAACAATTAAATTCAAAATATGATGCAGACTCGTGAGGATTTGTTTTTTTCCTATCATCCTATTATATTTTCCCCAAATGATGTACAAATGGCTTGATACAGTAAATAGTGCATGTAGCTGTTGTGGATGGGGAAAAAAATTCCCGGTGGAGCATGTACCCTGGATATTGGCAGAAGTTTGGGATAAGAACGAATGTTTACAATATCAGGCTCCGGCCCTGCTCAAAGCATTTCTGATGTGTCTATTATCGCATCAGAAAAAATGCCATTTTACCTGCACTACTTTCGACAACAACTCGGGTTATGTTCGTTGTTTTCCGTAACTCCGCCTCCTGTCGAGCCCTAGAGGTTGTCAGGGGCAACTGAGAGAGACGCTTTATGCCCAGACAGGAGGCTACACAACACTGGAAGTTACGGTCGATGTTTTAAGCTGTTTTGAGTTTAAACAACTAATTTGACCTGACATTTACCCGAAGAAACTGACAGCAAGGTGAGTATTCAGACAATTTATCAGAACGGTTAACGCCATTCTACGGTAGCGAGGGCCAGCAATGAATGCTAACTTTACCTAGCTTATTTAGCTTAGCTAATGTTAGTAGCTAAAGCTAACTTAACCATTTGCCCCATAATGACATAACGTAACGTTAATGTTTGTTGACAGTACTAACCATCATGGCAAATTTATAGCTTCATCACAGTCTACATTGTTTTGGTGTACCCATAAGTAAACTAACGTTAGCTAAGCTAAAGTAAAATTATAGACAGAATCACTGAAAGCTATTTGAGGGTACGACGTAGAGTTAACTAGTTAGTGATTGCCGAGCTTTTAAAACAATAATTAGCCAGACTGCAATAGTGAGTAGTAGCTGGTACAGAGACATGCAAGGGCACACAGATTACTGACTAATAACCACGTGTAATATTGGAGTTTCCATCTAGCTGATATCCCCTTTCGTATTTAGAGAGAAGCACTGGGGACATGGCGGTGTATTTTGACCACCGTATTGAGGCCCCTGAAAGCAGTGCTGTACCCTCTCAGTTGACCTGGCACTTGGCTCTTCCTGTATTGGCTGTGGCCTCAAGCAGCCCCGCCACTGGAGGCAATGTAGACCTCTACCTGCAGCAGGTAAACACCTTTGAAGATGCACTTTCACAGAGAAAGAGAGGACACTTCGTTATATTCACAGTATGTGAATATGATCAATTACAGCATACTTAATAAAGTTTGCATACTTAAAATCGTCCCTGGTCATATGCAGGGAGAGTATGTGGAGAGCTGCCATGTAGAACGTCCATACCAACCCACAGTACTGCGCTGGCATCCCACAAAGCCAGTGTTGGCACTTGGCTGGGAGAAAGGAGAGGTAGTGCTGCTGACATACCCCTCTGGAGATCAAACAGTCCTTCCCAGCACACATACAGCCTACATCACACTGCTGGAGTGGAGCAGCTCTGGCAGCCGCTTGGTGAGCGGGGATCAGGTGAGTGTATTCCAGTGACTGTATACACAGACACTCTGGCACACATATGCATGTCTTATCTACATACTGATGCATTCATAGCCTCTGGATATAATGGTGGGCCTGATCGTCATACATGATACAAAGGCATTTTCTAATACCAACATGGCATATTTGGCACAAGACGTCCCATTTCTTATTGTTGCATTGTGTAAACATCGTGTTATTATGTGTTGACAGACTGGAGCTCTAGCTGTATGGAAGGTTGATGCTAGAGGGAGACTTCAAGGAAACCATCTAGTGAAGCATGAATACAACAAACCTTTAACTTGCTGCATCTTCAGACCTACCTCACCTGGGGAGTAAGTAGTTGGGTATTCTTCTTTTCATAAGTCCTTAGCAGTAAGCTTATATTGAAAACAATGTGATATCATTATGTTCTCTTGATCTCAATGCTGTGTTGCTGATAATAGGACCTAACTCTTGTTACAGTGACGTGGCGATGCTAGCACGGGCATCAGTGAGTGGAGATGAGAGTGCTCTGGATATGTTCAGCTGGAAGGGAGCGCCTCTCAAAATGGGCCCACAGGAGGGACTTGCGTTCTATGTCAGCACTGTAGATGGTGAGTTTTTTCATTTCTGTTTTGGGTTCTGTATTTTAAGTCAAGATGCAATGTGTAGCTCATGATGTAAACAGTCAATATCTGTGACCAATGATTTCCAGCAATGACACATCTATGAGACA